CGGTGCCGACCCACTATAGGTCGGTTCCGTACTGTTGGTTACGTTACTAGTCCGACCTCTTCGTTGGGGTGGGTCCGACCAACTTAGTATAGAGAGAGAGAGAGAGAGAGGCTTGGGGGTGGGGGGGGGGTGGAGAAGAGATAAAATAGAGAGGCTAGATTTAGGGGATGGGATTTGAGGGTTGGATCCCCTATTTATAATGTTGCCAAGGCTTAGGCTATGCTTCTTAGTTAAGGATTCAATCTGGACCATTGATCGATGATGATCTGTGGGGTTAAGCGATGTTCTAATCTCATTCCGCCATTTCCTAAATCAACCATTATGATAGAGGGAAGAACTAGAACCGCTAACCCTTAGTTGTCCTCTTCTACTCCTAGTAGAATTAGGTTAATCCAATAATTTGAATTACACTAATCTCAATCTTCTAGAAGCTTTTCCAAACCTTGTAGAATTCTAATTGAAGATAATTCAATAACTTTAAAACTCCTTTCTCAAGTAAACTTTATTTATAAAATCAAGAATCTTGTTCATAACAAACTCTATCCAATCTAACCACCTTAGGTTGACTTAGTCAACCCTATCCTTTTAGAAGTGGAAAGTGAGTGTGGGCCCCATGGAACCCTTGGCCCCACATCCCTCACAAAGATGGGACCTCTATGTGTGGGCCCGTGTGCATAGGTCCCACAGGTCCAGCTAATTTTCCAACACCCTAAGTAATTTTTTAAATGCCTAGAAGTGATTTCAAAAAAATAATTGGAGTTTTTAATTTCCAAAAATATTTATTTTGAAAAATAATATGGCAGCAATGAAATATGTAATTGAGTTAGAAAAATTGCAAAGTTAGAAAAATTGCTCTATTGTTTCATAGTTTTTCTAAAACGTAAACAAACACATTTACAAGAGGATTGGATTCAACGTGCTAGGAACATGCGAATTGCTAAGGCACTCTATCTATGCTAGTACATGTGGCCAACTGATTATCTTCTCAACTAATCTAATAGATCCATGACGTAGTCAATGGTAGTGGATCAAGATTGGTCCATCAAAATTGGTCAATAAATAATAAGAACATGAGATTGGTGTGTGGATTATAGGTTCTTCCTAACGAAAAGTCATGTCCTCATAGATGTGCACATTATCTCAATAGTGCAGGCAATCCTCTCCTTTCGGTAACATGTATACATGCTATCCTCTTGAGTCACTTCCCATAATGTGGTTATCATGTGTATGTGCCATGTGGTTGTCGTGTTGATGATTTAGCCCTTACCCTCACTATCCACCAACTGCACAGATGAGAGCGGTCACCTCCTAGGTAAAACCACTCTAGGAATTTCTTCGACGGATTACCTTGCAATCCTTCTCCAGTTCTGGTTCAGGCCTAGCTAGTATTTTTAGACTCATTTTCTTGCCCTAGACCACCCCATTTCAGGTGGGTCAACCAAAAAAACAAGTATACCATTCTGGTTCTATGCAGAACACACTCTCATTAGAGTACATATCCACTATGTTCAAGAGGTTTTATGCGCTCTCTAAGCCTTTGAAAGCCACAAACCCCATCATTTTTAGGTTAATTTTGTTTTGAAAATTAGTCATCAGGTTTAGGTTTTAAATGAGCGGTTTACAAGTACAATGGTTTTAATGACTGATCGATAATAACAATTTAGAGAGATCCAATAATTTTAGGGCAGTGGAAGGAAAAAGAGTTTTGAGAAAGAATTTTGAAAGTCGCATTTGTCAATTTTCTTGTCTAGTAATATATAGCTTGTTAGCGAAGGTGGAGAGAGAGAGAGAGAGAGAGAGAGAGAGGAGGAGAGAGAGAGAGAGTAAAAGAAAAGGAGGAAGAAGGAAAGAGACGTACTAAGTAGTCTACAGTCGTCCTCCTACTAACTAACTTCTTTACTTTAATTAATTAAAGTTAAACGTTAGAGAGAGAGG